GAAGGAAGGAAGGAAGGAAGGAAGGAAGGAAGGAAGGAAGGAAGGAAGGAAGGAAGGAAGGAAGGAAGGAAGGAAGGAAAGAGAGAGGAAGGAAAGAAGGAAAGAAGGGCATGTTTTGTGGTACATTTAAATTCTGGCTTTTTCCTTTTATCCTTCTGAATAAACAGATATGGTATTTAGCTACTTTTTTTGGTGGCCCTAAAAGGCAGTTAAGATATTTTTACTTGATGTCTCTTTCTAGTCTTCTACTTCATACGGCTTAAGCTCTCACATTGTGGACCATTTTCAGGAACTCCTTAACATTGATGGAAATTTAAAAGAAAATTACATCCAAAAAGCAAAATATATAAAGATAATATTTAATTAATATATCTTATTCAGGATACAGAATTCACTTGTTTTTGACTAAATGGTTTACTAATTATACTTGTATTTCTTAATATGGCTTTTTAAAAAATCCTGGTCTATGGCTTAGGAATTAATATTGCTAGATGATCTCTACCAAACAAGATTTGTTGAATATTCTACATTCTTGGTATTGTGATTTTTTAATAGAATTACTAGTGAATTAGGACCCTCCCACAGGGATTCAAGTTCTCACATAATGGCTTAAAATGGTGATATATGCTTAATCCCATCCTTCTCATGCTAAATCAGGAGGTCTGAGGGAGAATTTCTGCTCATATCATTTGAATACAGTTAAAAACCAGTGCAGTCAGAAAGAATGCTTACATGGAGGAGACAAAATCAAAACAATATGTGACAGCAATGATGCTGCAACTATTTCCCTTATTCATAATAACATTCTTAATAGCTTTTTCTTCGAGATTCAGGAAAGCTAGAATGATTTCACAAAATGATTTTGTAAAGCCAATCTCAAATACATCTCCAATATGAGTTGCTGTAGCAATGAGTTAAATTAATAAATGCACAAAGTAATCTAATCAAAAATTTAGCCACTTTGACTTTTTTCTATGGAATTAATATTTTTACAGTGATATTGGGACAATCTTGGAGTAAAAGATGCTAAATTCTTCACTGTGGGGCATTTTAAAATATTTGGATGGGGGATAAGTAGAATAAATATTGGATAAGTAGAATAGATATTTTGGATGAGAGACTTAAGACATCCATTGGCAATTAATATCTCTCCCGATAGGAAAAAAATAATCAAAGTTTTGGGGACTGGGTGGGTAGTTTTTTAAATGGATTTTAACGTCTGCTACTATACCTAGTTTTGCCTGATAATTATTCCCAAAAATATTAGTTGAAAATATATTATATAAATGTTTTGTTGCAGCAATGGGGATAGTTAGCTATTAATTACTATGAAGTAATTAATATTCATCCATTTTTCTCCTCTTGTAAATAGATTTTGCAAGTACACACAGTTGTGTAAATGGAAACTTTCTCAAGACATCTTCAGCACTTTTCTATGTGAAAATAGCTGCAGCTTGAACATTTTTTCACTGTAAAATGAGTTCTTCTGCATTTCGTTTCTGAAATGACACCTGTATCCGGCTTCAAATTCAGTATGAATTGCTGCCATTTTTGCTGAATGTTCTTCCTAATTCAGGAGGACCATCCAGGTTTGCTTTGTTTTACTACAGCAACCCACACAATTATCTGCTGATTAGCAAGCTGTCTGAACACATCTGACTCAGGAGCCAAACAGAAATAACAGATTTTCCTGAGTTTAATATGGAGCAGAAATGGTGTACAGGTCTAAAATGCAGGGAATGTACAATTGCCTGTCTCCAGCCTTTGAAACTGGCGGTCACAGATTTAGATAATTAGTGGCTGCTGAATGTGATTTTTGTTCATTTGTTTCCTATCTTTTCTCTCTCTAAACCAGCTGCAAAAAAGCAAGGAAAGGGAAGAACAGATGGAGGAGATGATCCAAGCCTATGAGAAGCTGTGTGTGGAGAAAACGGACCTTGAGTCAGAGCTGGGCCAAATGGTGGGTTTCAACTACTTTCCTGGTCATGCATTTTCTCCCCCCCCCCCCCCCCCCAATATACTTGATGCTGTGATTTGTTAGACTGAGAAAATAACCATGTTTGCAGCTAAAATACTATTTCACTGGGTAAAGACATGCCAGCTAAGAGTATCTTCAAGAGATGATATTGTTATCAAAATACTAAAGATGGTAGCCACTAACATATGATTGAAACTCCCCCTTTTTATGAATATCTCACTTGTAAAACGGGGGGAGGGCTTCAGTATACCCTCACTCTACCCCACTCACCAATATGCTGGTTAACAGCCCATTTTGTTATGTGGAATACAGCAAAAATTATAATCAAGAATATGGATGGAAACAGGACTAGAACCTATTCATAGATTTAATTAAAGCTCCTTGAAAATAATTTAATACACTGAACATGATTAATGTTATTTTTTATTTTATTTGTATTTATATTAGTTTACAAATAACTCAGAGCAGTGAACCTATCCACAGATCCTCCTCCTGTGTTCCCCCCAATTACCCTGTGAAGTGGCGTGCACTGAGAGAGAGTAATTGGATCAAGATATCCAACTGACTTTCATGGATAAGATAGGACTAGAACTCACAGTCATGTTTTCTAGTCATGTTTTCTACTGCTTTAATCACTTGTCTAAACTGGCATCGTACTATATTTAATAGAATCACTAATATTTTTATATGCATTGTTTTAATTTTTAAATTTCTACCCTGCTGAAATCCAGAGACTTGGTGATTTACAGAGATTATGATAGAGTCAAACTCTTCCAACTCTTTTATAGCACAATTATTCCTCCTCCAAGATCTGTCCTTAGATATTTCTATCACATTTTATATCCTTCAGGTAGGAGACTATTTATTTTGATCAAAATTGGGTACTAAATGTTAGAGCAACAACCAGTAGATCTATATGCCTCCCATATGAAATCCAATTTTGTTTCTATTAAGACTTGGTTAACATCCATTTCACACGTGTTATTAAAATGCCCACTGTATACCCAGGGACAATGAAGTTTAATACTTCCAGTTGTTAAAAACACAATAATTGCTATTGTGATCAGGAAGTTATTACCCTTCTCCTTGGTGACCATTCTTCTAAGAAGAATATAAAATTCTTATTTATAGCTGTAGCTGTTAGAAGCCATCTGGTTCCTCCCTCATGCTATTAATTGTTAGCTGGGCTAATTGTGTTAGGATTTTCTCACATTTTTTTATAGTTATTGATTACTGGTCTTTTATTGTGTTTGGTCTTGGACCTTAAATAAATTTTGATTCATTCAGATTATAAAAGCCATGTCAAGCAAACAGCATAACCAATAAGAACAGTAAAACAGTATGAGCCAAACATAGAACTGATGACAGTTTTATTGTTTTAACTTCTATCACATTAAAAAATTACACAGCTAGTCCTTGTTTAACAACTACTCAATCAGGGATTTTGAAGTTACAATAGTGCTGAATGAGTGGTTTTTATGACTGATCCTAGAAGTTCCAGCCATTCAAGCATCCCAGCACAGTCACATGATATCAGTCTTGGCAACTGGTTTGATTTATGATGGTTGCAATGTCATAAGGTTAGGTCATTGCCATTTGCAACCTGTCCTGCTGGCTTCCCAAAGCAAAGTCAATAGGGAACAAGGAAGGTCGCAAGTTGCTTTTGGTAGGTTTTTTACACTCTCCCCCTCCCTGCAACAGCCACCCTTGGCCTCACCATGATAGTGCTTTATCTCCTCAGCCACTCCTCATGTACCCTTTCCTGCCCAGCAGCAGCTACCCCCAGGTCCAACCATGCTTGTGATCATCTTGCTTGGACACCCACTTGGCAGAAGATACTTATTTGCCTCCTGGCCTTCTTGCAAGCCACCTGATGCTTTTTCAACAATTTTGCAATCCTCATTTAACAACAGCAACAGGGAGTGCTGAGACTGCTGTTGCTAATTGTCAGGTCATGTTGCTCTTTACAAGTGCATCATTTAGTAGAGGAAATCCCAATTCCAATTGCTGGGTTAATCAAGGTCTACCAGTAATTTTCTGGCAACTTTAGGAGGACTCTGGAGTTGCCACTGAAAATTTCAGAAGTCCCATTAGATTTTGCTGCCACAAACTGCAACTCTGCCTCAGATGGCAGAGGTACTGTATTTCTAAGATTTTTGCTTCATTTCCAAAATAGCTTGGATGGCCATAAGCATTATGCATCTTAATTTAGGTGAAAAAGGAATGCCATTTGATTCCCTGACTTTTGCCAAAAAGCCCCCATAAAGCCTTTCTGAATCACGCAGAGGCAATTTGTCTCATTCAGTGGGGTTGGTTTGGAATGGCAGAATTAGAACTCCTCATGAGTTCAGTGACTAATGGATTTAATGGTATATATTTTCTTTTATTCCCCACCCACGATAATCTGCTGTACTAATTATAAAAAGCTATAAGATTATTATTTAGCCAGTCAGAACTGTGTTGGCAAAGCTTGATCCCTTTTGCTCCCCCTTGAAGTGTGCATTAGGACATAACTTAATATAGAACTTGCAATTCTTGTTATCCAGCCTTATAAGCATCGCAATCATTTGTCTTAAGTATGCTTTGAAGAAAAATATAATTTTACTTGGTGAGTCAAACTAAAGAGCCCTATTATTCAACATTTCATACTTAACAGCAGAAGTGATTTTGAGGCAGAAATCCAGGGTGTTACATAGCAGAAAAAATTCATCAGGGCCATATTTTGAATTCAGGGAACTAATTTGAGTCTTTTAGAGGGTGAGTTACAAATCCAAAGCAAAGTCAACCAAAAGACATCCTACTGCTTGAAGGAAAGGGCAACATACAAAGCAGTGGTGGTATTCAGCTGGTTTGCACCAGTTTGCACCGGTTCGCGTGAACCGGTAGCAAGGATTTGGCATGGGTTGCCGAACCGGTAGTAACTTCTGGCTCGCCACGCCTCCGACCCAGTCTCCCCTCCCCTTCCCGCCCAGTCAGTCCTTATTGCACATGGGCAACATCGCGTGCATGCCTGACATCGCTGACTGCGTTATTCCCTGCCCAGTCACTCCTTAAGGTATTTCTTTTTTTTCTCCTCCTGACAATCAGCTCTTCCGATGATCAGCTGTGCCGGGATTCCCCTTGCTGTCTTACTGCTTCACCTAAGAAGCTTCCCTGAGGCCCAGAAAGGCAAAAAAAGTCTCCCACCCCATTTTTTGCCTTCCTGGGAGCAAAAATGCCTCCCTAGGAGGCTTCCCTGAGGCCCAGAAGGCCCCAAAATAGAGTGTGGGGGGGGGAGCTGCGTGCCCCCCTTATGCTCAGTCTTTTTTCCTTCCTGAGCCCCAGGGAAGCTTTCTGGGAGCAAAAATGCCCCTCCCCCAGGAGGCTTCCCTGAGGCCCAGAGGCCCCAAAACGGAGCACAGGGAAGTGCTGCATGCCCCCCATCTCAGTTTCTTTTCCTTCCTGAGCCCCAGGGAAGCCTTCTTCGAACAAGCCTTCTTCTCAGGCAAGCCTTCTGCCCCTTCCCCCAGGAGGCTTGCCTGAGGCCCATAAGGCCCAAAAAACGGAGGGTGTGGTTCTGCAAAACACAGAAAAACCCACATCCGCCCAGTCACATAGCCAGGCCCACAGAACCAGTAGTAAAAAAAAATGTGAATCCCACCACTGATACAAAGGACATACAATGCTAGCAAGGAGATGGGGTTCTTCACTATTTCTGAGAGCACTTGATAGTTTAAGGACTTCCAGGGTGAAATGTGGAATAACACAATGCAGTTTTTCAGATGTGGGGGAATACTATCATTTCTATCCCAGCATCTGTTGGCTTAATAGCAATTACTATAGCAATAGCACTTAGACTAATATACCGCTTCAGTGTTTTACAACCACTCTAAGTAGTTTACAGAATCAGCATATTGCCCCCAACAATCTGGGTCCTAATTTTACCGACCTCGGCAGGATGGAAGGCTGAGTCAACCTTGAGCCTGGTGGGATTTGAACTGATAAATTGTAGGCAGTGGCAGTCAGCAGAAGTAGCCTGTTGTATAGCATTCTAACCACTGTGACACCATGGCTCTTGTTTCTTGTTGTTTCTCAAAGAATCTCCTCAGATTCTTAGACTGTATTAATGGGTTAGAAACTAAAAATAAAGATGAGTGTGTTGTACAGTTTGTTTTTTAAAAAAAACATGTCCCAGGGTCATGTGATCCTCTTTTGCAACCTTCTGACAAGCAAAGTCAATTGAGAAGGCAGGTTCACTTAACAGCCAAGTAACTAACTTAACCACTGCAGTGATTCACTTAACAAATGTGGCAAGAAAAGTCGTAAAATGGGACAGAACTCACTTAACAAATTTCTTCACTTAACGACACAAATTTGGGGCTCCATTGTGATCATAACTTGAGGACTACCTACAAAAGAAAACAAAGGACTGGTCAAACCTCTTTCAAACAGAGGGAAAAAGTTGAGAATAAAAAAAATAAAATCTGGGAAAGAGAAAAAAGTCAACGAGAAAAACAAGAGAAAGATTTGAAGCAGGGATGAGCTTTTCAGCTAAATGGGCATCGTCTAGTACTGATATTTGTCCAGCAGCTGTGGGCTGACATCTTCAAAAGGCTGCTTTGCGGTAGACCTCTCTTGACAAATCACAGGCAACTGAAATGAGCTGATTGGGCTCTTTTATTTGAACTTGGCAAGCTGATTGATGGTCTATATCCGTGATGGCCAACCTATGACACAGAGCCATTGCCCCAGCTCAGCTCCGCCGTGCATGCGTGCGCGGGCCTCCCACCAGCCAGGTCATCTTCGGGGCTCTGTCACGCATGAGCAGCGGGCAGGGCATGTGTGGGGTCGCATGTGCATGTGTGGGGACAGGACGCACCTCGGGGCGTGCACACATGTGCAGGGAGAGAGGCACATGCGCGGGGTGCATGTGCACATTGCATTTTGGGGATGTGCGTGCACTTTGGGCACTTGGTGCCGAAAAGGTTAGCCATGAATCTGGTCTATATCATGGGAGTCAAAGAAAGCTGGTTTCCGATAGATTCATCTTTTGAGCCCCAGTCATGATTTTCTTTTAGCATATTAATGGATCTGGATGGCTTTTCTATTCAAGCCAGAGAATGAGGTTCAATACTACTTCATTGATGCCAACTGTGAAAACCTGCACTATATTAGACGCATGTGCATGCACACCTGTCCCCACAGAGAATTTAAGGAATGATAAACATAAGTAAACATCCACATTCATTATTTCTAAAACATATTTTATAGATGGATGTTATGATTTAGGAATTCGTTTATACAACTAAATAAAAGACCATTCATTATGAATATTTAATTAAAAGATTCCTCAAGATTATTGGCTGCTCTATAAATTTATATCCTTTGCTAATTCCCATATTTTAAATTCCATTGATGTAGTTAAGCTTTGCAGTGTTTTCTTGTATTAAAATTGGCACCTCATAACAACGTTGGATTAATTTCTTGTGTTATACCATTTTATACTTCCTGGAAAAGATGAAAAATTAATCAGATCAAATCAAATTAATTATTAAATGTATTATATAATTTTTCCATTTTATTTGAAAATCTTCCAACCCAAATGTATGGGCTTTGTCACCAGAAATGGCTGTACATAATGATTAGATTACACTCCTTCAGCATGATGACAATAAGTACTATAATACAATTTTATGAGAAAATAGTACTATAAAGAATAGTAATATCAGGGAGAAATGATATTGCTTTGCAGGCTGAATATCTAGCAGTAGCTCATTAAACCTCATTTGAGATCTGAATAATATGTGTTACTCTTAAATTGAAGTAACAATAAAATTAGTATAATTTTTTATTATTATCATTAAAGTTTGGTATAGTAGTAAAGGTGCTGACTAGTAACAGGACACTGAGTCCTAACCCACCCTCAGGCATGGAAGCTGGCTGGTTGACTGAAGCCATCATTCTCTCTCAGCCCAATTCAACTTACAGGGTTGTTGTTGTGAGGAAAATAGGAGGCAGGAATATTATGTATCTTCACTTCACCTTGAGTTACATATAAAAAAGGCATAAAATAATAATAATTCTAATATCAGGTTGCTATACCTAAATCTGTTTTCTATGCTTTGCCTGAGTCTTTAAAAACTATTTTATATAAATAAAGGTTTCCTTGCCACGTAGATGTCAATTAATTAACATGAATCGGAAACACTGAAACAGGAATACAAATTAAGGAAGAATTCTAATTGCAGTTTTTCTATTCAGTAATGACAAGGAAAAGGTTTCCCTGACTTAAGTCAGGAATATGAGTTGGTTGCTTTTCTTAGAATGATGAAAGGAGCAGTGTGACACAAGCTCTAACTCTTTTAAATGTAGCATGCAATGTCACAGTACTTGTACAAAATAGGATCAGTTTGTATCATTCCTTTCATTATTTTGTTCCCCTATTTGACCCTGCAGATGCCACTGATCAAGAATACAAAGTGTTCAGCCAAAATGTTCAGTGTTCCATGTGACTGTAGAGAAAAGAAGAACGATGTAGTGCTTTATAATTGCACTGCTTAGCAATGGCAATCCCAGTCCTAATTGCCATTGTAACTTGCAGATAATCTCTATTTTATTTCCAACAATGTTTGGAGAAATATAGTACGCATTTGACTTCATCAGATGTGGGAAGATATCCAGGCAGAGCAAAGCAAATAGCAATAGCACTTAGACTTAAATACCGCTTCACATTGCTTTACATTCCTCTCTAAGCAGTTTACAGAGTCAGCATATTGCCCCCAACAATCTGGATCCTCATTTTACCGACCTCAGAAGGATGGAAGGCTGAGTTAACCTTGGCTGATGAGAATTGACCTGCCAAACTGCTGGCAGCCAGTAGTCAGCAGAATTAGCTTGCAATACTGCATTCTAACCACTGCGCCACCATTGGCTCTTGGAAATAAAATGGGATTTATTATGTTTTGCATAACACATTAATAACATATAATATGCCTTTAATTTAATTTTATTCTATTTCTTTTAGGAATAAATCCAGATTGATTAGGAAACATTTATTTATAAACATATTTAGCTTATACGTTAATGTGGTGAACTTTTTTTCATCTTGATTTAGCAATGTAATAGGCTTTTTATTGACCTTCTGTGGAGATCTTTATTTGGTTAAAGAATAAGAAAACACTCCTACTTTAGTTCCACAAGATAGGAAAATATGTGTAACTTTTTACATAAATAATATTTATTTTGTATTCACTCATTTTTAAAACTTTTAAACAGTTCAAAGCAGCTTACCATTTTAAAAATGTGCTATTTCAACTTCTCTTAATTGACTAAATAAATTTCTATGATCATCAACTAATTTAGTGAGATTAGAGTTTATCTACAATCTGTAAACTTAATATTTTCAGAATTATTACATGGATAAATAGGAAAAAAATGCTATAATTATCTTGCATGTCCTTTGGTTTACTTAATGGAACTCAGTTTTTCTTCCTATCTACCAGCTATTTACCACTATGAATAGAGTAGAGTAGGGTAGAGTAGAGGTAGAGCAGAGCAGAGCAGAGCAGAGCAGAGCAAAGCAAAGCAGAATAGAACAGAATAGAATAGACTTTGGACATCTTCTAGTCCAGTGGTCGCCAGCCGACGGGCCGCAGTGGTCTGCAAGAAAATTTTGGTACTCCGCAGAAAAATGTCACCCCCAGAACACCCCCCCAAAACAATCCAGACTGCGAGGGAACACAAGGCTGCACCGCCCACATGGCCCCTGGGAACCCTCCTTACCACTCACTCCTTACCTGGCAAACTTGCCTGCTAAGTTGCTATTTTTCCTTTATTTTATCCTGATCATCAGCTGTTCTGCTGTGCAGGGAGATTTAGATTAGCTAGAAAGCAGGAAACCGTTGGATTTCTTGCTTTCTAGTTAACCTTTAGATCTCGGGCTCTGCTTTTAAGTGACAGACTCAGGTAGCCGATGGCAGAATCACAGATCTCTGAATGAATCTGTGATTCTGTGAGCAACTCAATCTGCCTGCCTGCTTTGCCTGACTTTGGGTAAAAGTTGCTCTTTTTTTAATAAAAAATTCAATATTTACATAAATATTTATAATATTTACATACAAGTCACATGACCACCAATCCACATCTACAAATTAGGCCATGCCCACAGAACTGGTTGTTAAGAAATTTGAATCCCACCCCTGCCTCTGTGTGTGTGTATATGTGTGAGAGAGAGTGGGGGGAGGGAGAGAGAGGTTAGATCATCTCTCTTTCTCTTTCTCTCTTTCTCTCTCTCTCTCTCCCCCTCCCCCACCACCACCACCGTCAGCAAGCCACTGTCAGTCAAAAATCATATTAGTGGTCCCCGGGATTTAAAATTATGAGTTTGGTGGTTCCTGAGGTCCAAAAGGTTGGCGACCCCTGTTCTAGTCCAACCCGCTGATCAGCCAAGAAGCCCTATACTATTTCAGACAAATGGTTGTCCAATCTCTTCTTAAAAACCCTTGGTGTTGTTGGAGCACCTACAACTTCTGGAGTCAAGTCGTTCCACTGATTAATTGTTCTGTCAGAAAATTTCTCCTTAGTTCTAGATTGTTTCTCTCCTTGATTATTTGTGACAGCTGCTTACATATTGAAACACTGCTATCATGTTACCTCTAATCCTTCTTTTCATTCAGCTAGACATACTCAAATCCTGCAACCTTTCTTCATTTGTTCTTCGTTCAATTGTATTATGTCCTTGGAGGAATTTTACAATCCTTTAGCAATGCTGTCTTTGAGCCAAACATTATGTAATAATGAGATATTTAATCTCCATTTAAAAGGAAGCAAAATTGAGATCATGGATTGAAAAGACTTAATACAATTGGAACGTTATCAGAAATTGCTATTGTTTTAGCTATACTCTTGCTTAATATATGAGGCCTGAATGAAATTAAGATGCTATTGTTGAGTAGATTTGATTTTTAGCTGAGTGCAACATAAAATCTTTAATTGAAGAGTTGTTAATTATTCTGTGCCAGAGAAAGGAAGGATATTTTGATTCCCAAAATGAATAAATGCCTGCAAAGTTGATGGAGTTAGCAGAGATGACTAAATTGACTAATTAAAAGAAGAAAAGAACTGTTTCTTCTTGGAAACCACAATTGGACTTTGTGCTTGAGATTAAATAAAAATGAAATGAAATTTAGATAAGTTTGTTGTTATAGAAATGGTTAGTATATATTATGTATAAGTAAAAAGTTGAGATCATATGTTTAAGAATACCTTATTCTATTGTGCCAAAAAGAGTTGGAAGTCAATACTTTACTCTTTCTTTCTCCCTTTTCCCTACACCTTTTCCTCTTTCCCTACCTTTCCCCTATTTTCCATTATTTTTATTTTTATTTCTTTGTATTTCTGTATTTTATATTCTGATGAATTAATAAATAATTGAAACCAAAAAGATATAACTAAATGAAGGACAAGTTGATCTGGATCAGAGTGAATGAAGACTTCAGAGCAGAAGAGTGGGGTTTGGCCTTAGATTAGAGGCGAGGCGAAATGGAGGACAGTTTCTTTGGATTTGAAGGCTTCTTTGCTTACTGGATTAACTATCCTTTCTATCACAACATGTATTTCTATCTTGGTCTTTCTGCAGAGAGCACTTGTTGATACACATTTGAACCGCATTCGGAACCTGGAACAGCAGTTAAGGCAGAGAGATGGCAGCACTTTCCAAAATCTCAACTCTCAACTTCAAAATCAAGAAATTCAGTTCCGATCACTTCATGGCACTCATGGTGATTTTTAAAAAAATTTCTAGTCCAGAGAACAAGGTATTGACTATTAGGTTTGAAACCAGCTATACTCAATTGATTCCCTCCAAAGTTTGGAACTACAAATCCCAGAGTTAGATACTCTGGGTAGAAATATTGGGAAACGTAGCTGCAGAACATCTGAAGGTACTTGTTTGGAGAATGCTGCATGTACCAAAATGTGGCACTGCAATTTGGGAAAATCAATTTTGGAACCAACAGTACAGGGTTAAAAGGACTGCAGATGGTTGAGATGCATCAATTGTAAGCAGTAATAATAGTTCATGAAAAACAGCTGAATGTCTAAAGGGTCAGTGAAAGGAGATGTGATGAGAAATAGGTCAGTGGTCAGATTTCAGACAGGCAGAAGATGAAGTCAGATATATATTTTGAAGTCAGATAGTTGTTTTCAGCCTGTGAGGTCAGCTGACTACTCAGAGGCTAGACCTAGAGACTTTAGGAAAACCTTAACCTTGAAAAATTTTGCCTCCCAGTAGTACATTGACTCATCAACATTTATTTGTTCATTTATGCATAAATAGAAGTAAAATATATAATCAATTATAATATTAATATCTTCCATTTTTATTGTGCAACAATCTCGACATTTAAAATAAAAAAGAATTAAAAATACTGCATTAAAAACAATAATAGTTAAAAGGAAGTATTATCCAGTAAGAATTTGTAATATACCGTTTCCCTAAAAATAGACTTACCCCCAAAGTAAGCCCTATTGATTTTTACACGGGGCCCCAATATAAGTCCTACTCCCAAAATAAGCCCTAATTAAGACTCCACTCACTCCAGAGTGCACAGGTAAAAATTAAGCTAGGGTGGGGATGAGGAGGGGTGGAACTGCCCTACTATTTACCTTTGCAAAGTTGTAGCCAGGCCTCTCACACTCTGACACCTGGCTTGCCATCCCATTTCTTCTGCAGCCGGCAAGTCTGGCAAGGCTTTCCTGAAGGCCTCTATAGCTGATAAAAAGGTCCTGATCGATCCGGAGCTCTGTTATCAGCTACAGAGGCCTTCAGGAAAGCCTTGTCAGATGCAGAAGTCGTCCCTGAAGGCCTCTAGCCTGGGGCGACGCGCACGTGAGGTTAGTCAGTGAATAACATCCCCTAAAAATAAGACCTGGTGCCTTTTTTTGGTGACAAAAAATTATAAGACAGGGTCTTATTTTCAGGAAAGCATGGTAATATACAGACATACAACACAGGTTAATCTGCCAATGTAGTATAGCATTAATGTCCAGTTGAAAATGTACAGCAGTGCCAATTATTCAAATGGTGTTGTGAATAAATACACTGAATTGTATATATAATGAACGTATGAAAATTGACCTAAACATGATTAATATATCATGTAATCAATTGAAACTATTTCAAATCTCTAACCGATCTACATTTCCAAAAGATTATTTTAAGTTCTATACCAAGTTTATCCAAAGAGCTGTGTTGAATTTAAACTATACCTCAGAACTATCCTAGGAGGCTAAAACAAGATTGACTGTAGGATAATATGATATTTGTGAAATATTTTAAGTTCCATGAAACTTGGTATATCAGAAATGTGGAATTTGTGGGCATTCCAGAAAATGCTGAACTACAACTCCCATTGTGCCTCATAGTCCACCATGTTATGTGGAACTCGTGGGGATTAAAATATTTTTATTTCTCCAGCCTAGGCTGTGTAAATGCTAAAAATAATTATTAATATTAGTATTTGGCAGATATAGCCATTACTGTACGTTAAAACACAGAAAAAATATCCATTCATCCATCCTAGATATTTGAAAGAGGTGTTATATGCAAATAGAAAAAATGTTTCAGATTGAAGAGGAATTGTGAAACACAATCATGACTTCTATATGAATATTTCCTCAACCGTATTCAGTAATTATAGTTGTCAGTCCAATCCCTGATGTTAATCCAGTCCCTGATACCAGTTTTCTTCCTGGTTATCAGTGTAAAGCATTCTTCATCTGGGATCCTGTGAGGATGAAACATGGCCTGTACCTGCTAGAGATCCATACTTAAGTTTTTAGAGGCTTGGAAAAATGAAGCAAACACATTGATAATTAAGAAAATATGTCAGGCTGGCATACTTCAAACTGTTTCCCATGTGTAAATGGAGATTATTCACATTATGGCACTAATATTTGTCAGCCAGTAGATGGTGCTATGATTCCCTGAATCTTGGGTGTGCAGACTAGTCCATTTCCAAAATATTGCCTTCCCTTTGACCTTTACTTGCATTGAATTCCTAGAAGAAGCATGAGGAATACAGAAACAGGATAAAATGGTTCATTAGTGGATCTTTTTCACAGACCAATTTTCTGGATAATTTTAACTATTATCTACTCACTTTTTGGAGCAGCAGTCCTGCATTTTCATAGAGGGCAGCTGTTCATCTCTGAGAAGATCTAAAATGCTTGTTGATCCTGACAGTATAGAGCTATCAGAACGAAGGCTTAGTTTCTCAATTTTTAAGTGCTGGCTTACAAACAGAATTTAATAATTGCACATGCCCACCATTTGTAGGGCCAGGATAAAAATTAAAGATCTTTAAATTAAATTCAAATAAAAATAAATTATCCCATGAATTTATAGTTTAGAATGGGCTCTGGAAGCTGTATGTAAAGCTTTGGGGCCTGAGATCTGTTTTAGTGAGAATACAGTCATAAGTGTAGCTAAAGCACCTTTTAAAGACATGGGAAAGCAAACCTGAAAGATTGTTTGGGTATAATAGGCCTCACTTTAGGATTCACCATCTCTCACTTTTTTTCTTTCTTTGGTTCCAGCACCTAGCAGTGTCATACTTTTAATTTCCCATAATTGTTCTGTTTTGGCATTGTCTTAAACGATGCAGAAATTAACTGGATGGTTAGATGCACCATCCTTGTGATACTTCGAGGGCTCCCAGCACAACCAGATAGACTAACTGATGGAGGAGAGGCTCTAACGGGGAAAGCAAGCACTGTTGCAGGGCCCATCTCAATCTGGGAGCCAGTCCTGCCCAGAACTCTCCAAACTTGTTGCAACAGATCATGCCTCCATATCAATAATTCTTTATTCTCTGCCTTTTCTTCCTAATTTCATCTTTATAAATATTTAAAATTAGTCATTGAAACCAGTAAGATGAGTTTTCTGTTATTAATTCTGGCCTAAGCCTTAGAGATTAACCACAGATCTGTTTTCATATTTTGAAGTCTGGCCAGGAGATATTCTTCTGCTAGTTTACAACGGTTACCAAAGATTGTTGTCACATAGGGGTTATTTTTGGAAGCTATTGCCCAGTATTGTTGTTACAAATTACTTGCTCTTAAAAAATAAGAATCTCATTTCTTTGCAATTCCAATTCTGAGAACCTCAACTCAGTCCTTTATCGTTTTAAGAAGCATTTAGCCCTGCCAGTCTATCTTCCATCCTGACCGCTTTGATCATGACTTTCTCTACCTCTCCTCCCACCCTTTTTTACTCCTTCACAAATGCCCCCACCCCCCACCCCATCCATAGTACTGGATCGCTCAATGAACTGGCCGAGTCCACGGAGCCTGGAACAGGCAGAAGCCTTGGAGGTCCAAAGACTGGAAATGGAGCTTGAGAAGTCAAGGCAGGAAGTCCAGAACTGTCAGCACCGTGAAGAACAGAGGAAGGCTGAATGTGAAAGGCTGCAGGCAGAGGTGAAGCAGCTGCAGGAGACCAGGGCGCAGGTATTTCTAACTGGATTTCCCTGCACTGTTACTTAGTGCCTCTTAGTGCCAAGAGACAAACAAAATGTCTCTTGTTTGAGACATTTAATCACCTTTATAAAAAAAAAAAAAAAAGATCAAGGCAGTTTGAAATGTTATTTGTAAGAGCTCCATAGCTGAGGTCTCAAAACATGAAACATAAAACTGGTGGAAATTATGAAATAGCATATACAAGTAGTTCTCAGTTTATAACCTTTTGTTTAGTGATCAGCTAAAGTTACAATGACATTGAAAAAGTGACTTACAACCAGCTGTCCCATGGCCATCTCAGTATCCCCACAGTCATGTGATTAAAATTTGGGCTCTTGGCAACCAGCATATATTTACAATGGTTGTGGTATCCTGGGATCAGCTGGCTTCCAACAAGCAAAGTCAAATGGGGGAAGCTGGATTTGCTTAATGACTATGTGGTTCACTTAACAACTGCAGTGATTTGTTGAAAAAGTTGTAAAATTTGGTGTGACTTACTTAACAACCACTTTGCTTAGTAATGAAATTCTGGTCCCAGTTGTGGTCATAAGTTGAGGGCCACCTGTAATTTAGAAAGAGTTTTCTGTCTGCAGTTTTTAACAGTATAGCCTTTTGGGGGATGTCCATGGTGCAGACTGTTTGGTATTGAAACTTATTTAAAATACCCTTGGAAAATCCCAGGGTTGTATTTTTCTGGAGTTTCTGTGACTTCTGGGTATGAAAATATCTCTGGGTACCATACCTCCCACCTTCAGAATTTAATGAGATAAGAGCTGATAATTGCGGCTAGGTGTGTTATATGCAAAGACACTTGCTGTATAAGACTATGTCATGGAATTATCCTCATCCCTCTAATTTAAAAAAAAAATGTAACAGAGAAGAGTTTCCTGTTATCTGCTATAATCCCAGAAGTTTCAATGAGGAATATCCATCCCTGGACATTTGTATTCAAGCCAATGAAACTAGACCACATTATAAAACAAACAAAAATTTCTACTTTGTGGGCATAGTCTTTCTCAATCTTGGCAACTTTTAAGATATGTGGCCTTCCCAGAATTCCCCGCCAGCTTTGTCTATTGACTTTTGTATCCAAACTCTTCAACTTAATGTCCCCATTCCCTGATTTTCTGAAAAAAATCTGTCTGAAGTTCTTCAGATATTTTCCACCTATTAACTTAATCTATATCATGGATTAGTTAAAAACATTGTTTATATAAAATAAAAGTGCATTCTTTCTTTTAAAAAATGTAGGAGCTGAGCTCACGGGAAATATAACCTTCCTATTCTGTATTTGTAATATCTTACTTGACAGCTTTAATTTTTCTAGTGTCCTGATTGGAATGAATGTTGTACAGCTAAAGCAGAAAGAAGTAGAGAAGATGCTGTAGCCTTTCCAAGCAGTGACATCAGACATCAGTCTAATACCAGCAGTACCACAACACAACCCCCATCACTTGTCTACTTTCCCCCAGAAGAGTGAAACTTGTGATGTAACATTGTTTTGTCATTCCAAGGACAACTGTATGCCCCTGTGGATGTTGTTCACCTTTTCTTATATTGTTAAATTTATAACCGCCAGCATTCTTCAATCCTGACTATGCTTGGTTGGGAAACATAGTAGAGACAATACAGAGGACTATAGGCAAAAGCTTCAGACATGAAAGATTATGACAGTCCAGTTAAACTAATTTATTGCCAATCATGTCTATATTCCTGAATCTTTTCAAGTAACAGTTAAGGGGTTAGTTAAGGGTCAACAGACTTTAAGGAAGGTTGAACTTTGTTTATAGCAACGTAGGGGTTCTGCCATTGTTTCTCATACAATAGCAGAATAATTATTTTAGTCAAATAAGTTAAGTCTCATTTTCAGATTGTTGCACTCAATTACTGAGTTACTGATTGAAACATCTGAAAATCACTCATATTTATTGTATTTGTTAAATAAGTTTCCCTTTTCTAATACATAGGTCTTTCTTATTTTATAGTAACATAATTGGGATTTAATTGTTATTACCATAAATAGTTATCTAACTTTCTTAATAATATATTGATCAATATATCAAATAATAATAGTTGAGGGACAACCACAAAGATGAGGGGGTCCACCTATTTTCAAAGCACCAGAAAGCAAGACAACAAACAATGGATGGAAACTAATCAAGAAAAGAAGCAACCTAGAACTAAGGAGAAATTTCTAATGGTGAGAATAATTAACCCATGGAATGCCTTGCCTTCAGAAGTTGCCTCATTACTGGAGGCTTTTAAGAAGAGATTGGACAGCCACTTGTCTGAAATGATATAGGATCTCTTCAAGCAGGGGGTCGGACTAGAAGACCTCCAAGATCCCTTGCAATTCTGTTATTCTTTGTTCTATACATTATGATTCATCAGGCTAGAAATAGAGACTGTAAGTACTATTCCTCCCTTTGACATACTGTAGATTCAAGTGGGTGACTTTGGGTTAATCAGTCTTTCAATTCATGAATCACTTTTTAAAATGTTAACCAGAAAACTGCAAGGGGATGCCCAGGCAATAGCCAGGACTCAAGACTGATTCAAAAACTATTATATTTTGTACATATACAGTTGAATAATATATAATATAGGTTTTTTTCCAATGGAAACTTTGAAATGATAGAAGTTCCTCCCTAAGAAGGCATAACAAATCTTTTCCTCCAATGAGTGTTAGGTAGCTCCTGAAAATTATTTTTCATTCTGAATTTCACTATTTCATTTTAATTTTTGTTACTTATATTAGCTTTAGTTGTGAGGATATGCTTTTTGCAATGATTTCAGACTCAAATTAGAACAAATTAGAATGAAAAAGTTTAATGGAAGCCATATGGATAAAAATCAAATTGAAGTAGTGCAGATAAGACCTCATTTGTTTCATTTACCAAATGGAGCTTCCCTCTAGCTGTGTTCCCCTGGCTTGTTGTATTGGGGATTGTGTAACTGTGAGTATGTATTTATACAAAGTTTGCTCTAATTTTTCTTAGGATCTTGCAGCTAGTCAGTCGCAAAGGGATATGGCATGGGTGAAGAAGGTTGGAGATGACCAGTAAGTGCCACTCTTATTAGTAGATAATGTTTACTGGGGTGGAATTGCCTGGATATTCAAGTGCCAAATTTTCAACTTGTGAAATCAGATGTATTGAGATTTGATTGACCAAGATAATCTTGTCCATTGTAAAGCTCCAATTCTAAGAGGTTAATAATGGTTGGTGCTTATTAAAGGAGCTGGAAGTGCCAGAGAGATTCCAAGAAGTTAGTGATGTGAATATATGTGGTGGATTCACTTAATTATTCAGGGCATTTACATTTATATATTGCCTTTCTTTCTGAGAATATCTCTCCAGCATAAAAAGAAACAATTAAACAAATTCCTTGTGTGCCCGTTCACATTTGGTGAAAAAGAATTCTATTCCATTCCATTCCATTCCCTGGAGATCTATGAAGGCTTTAAGTATAGTGACAGGTCTCTAAAATACCAATTCCTCAAATATTGCTCTTCAAAGTATGTGCTAGTTATCAATCAAAGCAAAGCAGCATTTAGCTGCTTTGATCCTTAAGGGTGTAACTCATGCCAATATCTGGATAATTAACATACTGCAGCTAAGCAAAAATAAAAGGATTTTTAAAAATCTTTTAAAGAATAAGCTGCTTATTACAGGAGACCCAAAGATGCTTTTTCAAGAGGCAACTATCTGGTTTTTCGCTTCTCATCCAAGAAGCTTTTTCAGCTGTGACTCGATAGTGGGGAATGGAAGGATTAATACTCCTTGTAGACAGCTGGTCATTTGCATTCTTTTAGAGATTAATTGAAGTCGTTGAGGTTTATCTGTGTTGTCAGGGTCACCTGAGTGATGCAAATGGGTATAGAGCCGTGATGGCGAACTTATGGCACGCGTGCCACAGGTGGCACACAGAGCCATTTGTGCCGACACATGAGCCCCAGCCAAACTTACCTCACTGTGCATCTGCACTGCCTCCCAGCTGATTTTTGGTCCGTTTGAGGCCTTTTTTGGCCTCCCAGAGGCTCAAGGGAAGCCTCTGCAGCCTTTGGAGGCCAAAAAACAGGCTCGTTTCATCACTTCCGGTATTTTCAGAAATACAGGAAGTGACAAAATGGGCCCATTTTTCAGGCTCCAAAAGCTGCAGAGGCTTCCCTCGAGCCGAAAAAGGCCTCAACGGACCAAAAATCAGCTGGGAGGCACACGCATGTCCAGTGCAGGTAAGGGCAGGGGGGATCGCGCACGTATGTGCAGGGGGCGGCCTCCCCATATGCATTGCCTTCTGGGTGCTGTGCACGCATGCAATTTTCAGCATAGGAGCCCAAAAAGGTTAGCCATCACTGATATAGAGCCTTCTTGGAACTGTTGAAATGACTGTTTTGTAGACTGGAGGTAGATGATGTCACATCCCTCCCCTTGGTTGAGAGAGGGCTTTTCAATTTTGACATAGATGGCCTCTTTGACCCCTCTTTCAAATCACTCAGGTGACCCCGATGACACAGATAAACCTCCAGATGGCCATAATGATTCACTAAAATAATGCAAATTACCAGCTGTCTGCAAGGAGTATAAATCCTTCCAGTCAGAACTGAAGTAGCTTCTTGGATGAGAAGCAAAACGTCTTCAAAGAAAAAACAAAATCCAGTTGCCTCTTGAAAAAGCATCTTTGGAACAACCATGACCTGGATGACAGAATTTCCATAGACATATTATAGGGGAAGTCCAGAGATTCTTATTTATACTATATGGGATAACTAATTCAACCAAAAATGCTGTAATGGTTTTGTAAACAAAGAGCTGTGAAAGTTTGAAATATCTATTTTTCTATAAATAGCTCTTTGAAGAATTGACAAGATTATTTCATAATGGCTTCCTTATCTTTTCTGCAACAAATTTACTTATTTGAACTTTCACATCCTTGGAAATTTATTCTTTTAGTGTCTCACTCACCAGCTAGGTGAGAGCAATCTAACTGTATATTGGATAAATTTTGTAATGCCTAAGCAGAACAATGATGGGTACAAATCTTAACTTTAAAAAGTTGTATCTGAAAACGAGCAAGTAACATTTTTCCGGTATTGTCTGATATTGACTTCAATCAATCAACCAATCTTGAGCTAAGGAATTCAAAGTCCAATTTCATAGCAAAAGAACAGATTTGAAATTCTAGGCATTTTAAGATTTAGGTAGGTTTAATGGATACTAAACCTCTTATCATGCTCCATATGCTATTAATCAACACATCAGCAAGAATATCAGTGTTGTAATCAGTAACTGCCTTGTAAAAAGACACAAAACAGTAATTATTTCCTGTCATTTTTCCTGTCATTTTAACAATTCCTCTTCCCATTTATTCTATTGGTTTTATTTATGTTTCTGTTTGATTTATATTGTTGCCCATTTCACACAAATGATTCCGGGCTATTTACAAGATTAAAACAAATATATCCACCAAATAACCCTTTGCCATCCAAAGATAAACTGTTAAATCACATCACTGTCAATAGGAACAGAACTCACCTAACCCTTGACCCAAATGCTTAGAAAATGGCCAAAGTATCAGTGTCTTTTGTGTAAGGTTAACAGGATTGGGATAATATACCAAAGTTTTCATGAAATTGCAGCCTGTTAAAAATGTCACAATAACTGTGTTACCTTTTAAATGACCATGAAAGCCTGTGGTTTTTATTGTAGCAACAGCACATCAAGTTTCCGGGCTCTGGAAATTCATAGAGTTGAAACAGCATCCTGTATTTACCAAAACTAGATCTCCTTATGCCCTTAACTGATAAACTAACAAAGTGATTATCGCAAAAGTTTTTGTGGGGTAAGTGTTTTCTGGAAAAGCAAACAATTCCACTAAAACTTATGCTGTAAAAGTTTCTTTGCAACAGGGCGAATGGTTTTGCTATTGCAAGCCAACAATAAGCCATTTGAAAGTTTGGAGACATTCTGGGAGTGATTTCAGTTAGTTACACCATATTTCTCATTTGATACTAGTGTCTTCTAATAGTAATTTCATGTAACATCGAAAAACAGATGTATGTTTAATCAGTGAAAGTCCAGCACCTCATATTGTGCTTTTTTTAAACTAGGCACACAATTCTTAAGAATAGTATTGTTTGAATGTACAAAAGAAAGGATAAAGCACAACTATAATAATGTAAAACAAGAAATAAACAAGAAACCCTCCAAAAAATAGAAATAAAAAGTACATAGTAAAATACATACAAAAATCACTATCTTGACAAATATCAGGTTAAACTTTAACCATACTAAATATTCATGAATGAAGGCAAATATACGTGGATAATGTTGCAGGATCCAATTTGAACAGGTCACCAGGATCAAAGATTTTGTCTTCCGACTTGTGCCTATCTTCAGGGAACTTCTCCTGAATACGAAATATTGTTGCTTAATTTTTTCAATGTAGTGATAATAGAACTATTAATACATGGAGAGTGAAGACATAACTTCAGTGCAGGATTTTAAATCTGGTGTAGCAGATACTTTACATCTAAGTAAAATGATATTTTTGCTTATGCTTCATACATGATTAATCTAGAGATTTTCACGAACCAATATGTAATCAAATGTTTGGGATACAGTATACTTTGGTAAAGCACTTAATTTTCAATCATTTGTTTCTCTTAGTATATTAAGCCAAAATGGGAAAACTAAGCAACAAATTCAATACTTATGCGTCAGTGTTCCCTCTGCCATATTGCATTTTTGAACTTACTAAAGTTGATAGCCAGGCCTTTGTAAACATCTTCTGGAGTGTGCAGAAAATACCCAAAGATTGTTTTTTGAATTGTATTTTAATGTCACACAATTTCATAGTCTTTAAGTAGCCCATTAATTTGTTTAAAAAAAGTTTCTTGCAATTTACTTAAATCTGTGTACTATACGTTATATTGTATGTGTATGTGAAAGTAATACTTATCATTTGTTTATAAAAAATAAATGATGTATCTGGAATTACCCAATGTTCTGTCTCATGATAATAAAAATCTATGAATTTCTAATGTTGCTAATAAATCCAATCCCAATGGACTAGGGAATAAATATTTTAATTGAATGTATTGCTATTCAGCAATTTTGGACAATTTAGATTGCAACATTTGCAGAATTGTAGTCTGTGGCTATTTCCCAACAGAAAGACCAATCAAATTTAAATTACTTTTCCAACCTCATACAATCATGTTTTGCAACCATTAATTCTGAAAAAATAACTCACTGTTAGTCAAACCAGAAACCCGGCCAGGAAACTGAAGGGTTCAAACAGTATTTAATTGGAGATCATTTAAATCCCTTAATTTCCACTAGAAAACAGAGGTCAAAATATTAGCCAGTTGACAGTTGAGAATCAAGAAAAATCCCACAGAAATTGTCTCAGTATCTTATCAATGTATTTAAATTATTTGACAAGTATTAAAATAGGATACTTCCCAAGGGTTTCTGTTAATTTGAATTAACATTCATTAGAAAGTCCAGCAAGTCTATATGGAATTATGGCTCATCACACAATCAGCCAGATGTTCAGATTGCATTTGGCTTTTTTTTGTCTACCTATCAAGTCCTTCTCAAGGACCTGGGATAGGCAGATGTGGATTATTGTGGAATTATTAATAACAATTATTATTATTATTATTATTATTATTATTATTATTATTATTATTATTATTATTATTATTATTATCATTATCATTATCATCATCATCATCATCATTATTATTATTATTATTATTATTATTATTATTATTATTATTATTATTATTATTATTTGCCATGTAAGCTCATACGATGTTCAGCTGTCTATCATTGTTAATATTATGTTGAGATTTGCTTTACCTATTAGCATGTTGAACCTGGTAGAGGCTTTGGGAGAAGTGAGGTTTTGGCTTTTGCTTTTTTTAAAAAAAATGTAGCATCTTGATTTGCATGTTCTTTTTAATTAATCAAGGTCTGACGAGGGAAAGATTACAGAAAAGGGGTGTGAAGTGTGAATTTAAAATGTGTCAAAGAGAGCTGCTGTAACACCTTC